CAGATACACAGAAGAGAAGCTAATTCCTCGGGACCAGGATCCACTACTTTGGTGGAAAAACAATGCACCTACATTCCCCTCTCTCAGCAGACTTGCCAAAAAACACCTGAGTGTGGTTGCAACATCAGTGCCAGCTGAGAGGATTTTTTCAAAGGCAGGGCAGTTGATAAGTCACAGGAGATGTGCAATTAAAGCAAAAAATGTGAATATGATACTGTTTCTAAACAGAAACCTCTAATCAACATCACTGTTCTGCACAGGGGGACAGTGCCCCCAGGGGGGGCTCTTAGACTATTTCTTTAGGCTAAAGGCTTTAGGAGTTGTGTATTTGTATACTTAATTTATTGTAGTATTATTATTTATTGTTTATTTTTTACCAACTGTTTGTTTAAATTACCTTTTCAAAGCCAGAAAATATGTGCAATGTAGGGAAGACATTTTGTTTTATTTTATTTTTGTATTATACTTGAAAAAAGAGAATTTGTTCTTTGTTTTATAAGATTTGTTTTGGAGTGATTGTTTTGTCGACTTTGTTTATTTAGGAGTATTCTACGAAAGAAGTTTTAATATTTTCGAAAGATAATTTTGTGCAATTTGTGGAAGACAAAAAGTCTGTTCTTTTGTTATTGAACAAAAACTTGTTTTATGTTAATAAAGTTCTTTATATTTACTGTTGAACTTTATCTGGGTTTTATTAAATTAATAATACAATTTAAAACAAAACACACAACACCTGAAAGTCACGAAAATGTATTTATATTTGATAATGCATTAATTGTCAAAAAGTACCGGTATTGATATCGATATCGGCGATACTGGTCCAGTATTTACTTGGTATCCAAAGCTTGCAGTATCGCCTACCACTACTAGTTGATCTCCTTCGTGCTTGCTATGTTGTACTGTAAATAAAAGTCATTTATGCTCGCCAAAATAAAGAGCATCTCAGTTTTTACACCAACTGGTTTCCACCCTGTTGGATGTTGGTGTTTGTTACAGTGCAAAGTCATATTAAAAACCAGTCTCTGGTCATTTATATCTGTGCCAAATAACAGAAATGGGTCGAGGCACGGTGGCTAAATTAAAGTAGTCAGTCTTCCTGGATGAAACTGCAGAATTTGTTGCACTGAACCAAATAATTCCCACAAGCCAGAGAGAGAAAGGGGGAGGGCTCGTCTTGTTAAACACCCTCCACCCTCCTCCATTTTTTTCTTATTTGTGCACTTGTTCCTTTCGAGGCATCCTCGCCGTGTCGCCTTTTTAAGTTGAGTTGCTGGTAGAGATTTCCTTCCTTCTGGGATCTGTTTCAACACCTGGTAAGGAGAAACTGGTGTTCGTGATGGTAAAATAGGGATAGACGCGACAATGCTCGGCAAAGTTATTGGAGCAAAGTTAGCTAAACTAGCTGAACAAGTTGGATAAGTCTTTGGCGGTTATGAATACAACTGTTGTTACCTAAGTGGTGTCCTTAATATAATTTTAACACTACAAGACCTGGAAATGACACGCATTAAGGCAAAGGACGTCCTGCAATCTGACGTTACTGTCGTTGTCTGTTTAATTTGTGTATTAATTAAAATAACGCTAGAGTTCATTTACCAAATCTCCGTGAGCCAGCTTTCAATTTAAGCTAGCAAACACTGGGATACATGTAAGCCTAGCTAGGTGCAGTAGCAGCTTCGTCACCTGCAGCCACGCCTGTTTCGATTCATGACTTCAGTTGACGTTTACACCTGTTTTTTTTTTTTTTTTTTAAATTTTTTTTTTAAAAAAAAATGTAAAACAGTAAAAACAAAGTTTCACATTACAGATCGTTGCAACAGATGTATAACAGCGGTACACCTGTTTGTTAAACCATGGTGCTCCAAAGCCCCTGTCCCTGTTTATTTAATCTGGCCTTTTATTTCATTGGGAATGAATCCAGGAATCTAGGTAATTTATTTCACCTTGGTGTTCCACACAAACCCTAATGGAAATGTCTTAAAACCTACTTTTTAAAAATAAAATGTATTGAGAAACTACACCAAATGAGAGATGGTGGTGTATTTTGAGGTAAAAAGTAGAGCATTATGATATTAGGAAGGATACGCTGTGTAAAAGTTTGCGTTTTGACAAAAACAGTTTAGAAATAGAAAACTTTCTGAAGAGCGTTAATGTAAACAAAACGGATTCAAAACGAACCCAGACCCTCACACAAGTAAAACGACACAAATTAAACTGAAGGTGTTAAATAGTGGTTAAAATGCTGCAGTGTTGACTATTTGGATGACATATTTTAAAATATGAGTGTTAAAGTTAATATTTCTGCATCTTCACCAGCAGAACTCATGTTGGCATCAGGAATCCATTATGGAGGTTGTCGGCAGCATTGAATCAGTGGCCTCTCCATGACATTTATCTCAGTTGAAAGTGTTTCTCAGGAAAAAAAAACAACTTTCTGGCCTAACATACTTGTTTTAGGTCCCAAAATTCCCATAAATTCATCTGAATTTGAAGGCATCCTTTTGTGTTCTATTTTCAAGAATATGCAGGGTTTCTAAATAATGTACACAATGCAGACGGTGACATATTCCAAACCTGTTACATTTAATGTTGATAACAAAATAACTTATGTTGCAAGACTCTCATAAGCCTCTCTCTTAACCACAGAACTCCATGTTGGATCCTGATGCCTGAAGAAAAATAAGGACGGTTGTACTTGATTGCAACACAAACAAAAAATAATGCAGTTAATATTTAGTTTCACTCAAGTACATAAATTAATTGAACCAGTGGCTGCCTTAATAGAGTAAGAGAAATCCAAAAAATTTTAATATTGTGCATCATACATTGAATCAGCAGAGTTTCAGCTAGTCTGTAGATCATACTTTGGTGTGTGGGAGATCATGTGTGGCGGTGGTTGTGCAATTTCTGACAAGGAATTGTAGTTGTTATGCATGAAATTAGAAGGAAAAATGTTGAAACTGGTGCTATCTCATAATGGTGAAGAATTCTTAAAAAAGGTTCCTGGAATGATGACCTGGATCAGCTCCACAGTCTAATGAATTGTTCCGTGGGCCATGTCCTACCTCTCCCAAAAATGTTATCAAAGTCCAAACAACGCTGGTAAATACATTGCCTCTGCTTTGGCGGAGATAAAAAAAATAAAAGGGGGGGGGGGTGGGCTGTATGAAAATCAACCGGAAGGGGGCTTCTTTATCTGTGTTCAGGATGAGGCTGGCTCATCATTGGACTACATTTCCAGCCTGCCAGCCTCTTCGGTTTGTAGTTTGGAGATGTTGTGTATTACCTGGTGCTCACACGACATTGTGTATGCACCTGCTTCCCTCAGATTGAGGACTTGGTCAGGGTAAGATTCATACTCACTGAAACAGTTTGGCATTTGTTGTACAGTAAAGATAAAAACACAGCCAGTACCTCGAAGTTAATAAGTAATACTTTGTGTCAAGGCTGGTGTATATGAAGGCAGCATGGCAGGTGCAAGCAGTACGTGTCGCTTTGGGGTTTCTGTTATGCACAGATTATACCCCTGTCATGATGTGAAACAGCCTCCAGGGTGTCTTAGGACTAAAAGCAGCAGGGACCACTGGTCTATTTGCATCAGTTGACCTTCATGGTTTCCTCGTGCTAATGGATATAGTGTCATGGCTGGTAACCACAGAAAACCTGGTTAGGAGGAGACCACCAGGGGCCTCTTCACATCATGATGGCGTATCAGTAATTGTCATGTTTTAGTGGTCTTGTTGTTGCAGCATTGAAGCGATGAGGAGCTGTGTCTTTTTAAGTGAAACTACTTTTCATCAACACCGCTCGGAGCAGTTTTTCCTTGACTCTCAGTCTTCTGCAGGATACTTGGCAGACTTGCTGGTCTAGTTTTGTTTCTTGAGGGAATGACCTGTATTTCATGCTGCTCGTTGCCTTTCCGCTCTGTGTAGGTGAAACACTTACAGTAAGGTGTGGCTGCCAATCACAACAACAGTCTGACCCATACAACCACAGTCTGGCTAATGACAAAGCATGGAGCTTAGAAACAAGACTGTAAAGAATGCAATATGAGACAAAGGCCTGGGAAAAATTTTCTAGGAAGTGGTAAATGGTCTTATATTTGTATAGCGCCTTTCTATGCTTTACAGCACACTCAAAGCGCTTTCACACTATTTGGCCATTCACCCATTCGCACTCCCAAACACACACCGGTGACATCACCGGGAGCAACTGGGGGTACAGTGTCTTGCTCAAGGACACTTCGACATGTTGACCGGACAAGCCGGGAATCGAACCGCTAATCCTCCGGTTAGGAAACGACCCACTCTACCTCCTGAGCCACAGCCGCCCTAGTGGTACTGTGTAGTTTTTGTTGTTGTCTACTGAAGAAGCTTGACTCTCTGAAATGTAGCATATGGTGCTCAGAAACGATCATGCACACAGAAAATACTGGTCCAAAGCAAAGAGTTACTCACATTTTTACTTCAATCAAATGAAAAGCATAAGAGGAATCATGCAAATGTGAATTATATGGTAAAGTGTTATAATACACATTAGTCTGGGTCATTGTGAGCCATAATTTTGTTTTCGGGACACAACAAATAATGATTGGAGAGATGTAAACAGCACTGATACAAGTCTCTATCGGGCAATAAGCCTCCACATGGGCCTGTGGGTGACAGTGTCGACAATGTCATTTAGTTCAGTCTCAAGTATCTCGACAGCTATGAGATGAACTGCCAAGAAGTTTTATAGACATTCATGGTTCCCAGGATGAATCCTAACGACTTTAGAGATGCCTTAACCTTTCCTCTGGTCTGGATACTGTTTATTTTGTTGGTTTATGACTGAACACCAGCAAAACTAGTGCTGATAAACCAGCAGATTAGTTAATTGTTTTAGCATTCGTTGATGGATGGTGGGAAATCATGTGTATTCTTCACCTCAGTATTTTCACATTAATGTTCATATTATAATAAAAATTTTACCAGAACTTTTTCTTCATTGAAAACTGGTTAAATAGAACTAAATAGTCCTGAGTTATGAGCCAAAGCCCTAGACAGCATGCGGGCTCATCATGATCATATATAATGATTTTTATATGAGTTTGTGTTTTTCTATTTTTAAATGCTTAGGAAAATATTTAAAATGAATGATTCTATGTCTGAGACAACCTGCAATACTATTTTATATTGTCTTTTTTTCTCAGAAGTCACATCACCAGTGAATAAGTCAGAAACAGTGGGATTAAATTGATGCCGGTCTTTATTAGCACTGGGACACTTTTGCTCCAACCCAGAGTCCTGAGTTAAAGCTGTCATGACTGTTGGCATCTGTAAAGCTCAAGTTTCCTTGAGGAAGTGAACTGATGTGTAGTCTTGCTGTTTTGGCTTTTTCAAGTAGCGCAGCATTTCTGAAAAGGTCAAGAAAATACGCTTCTGGGAGGGGAATAAAAATGATATGCCCCGTCTGTTCAAGATACAAGTAGCATGGTGCACATGAGGATTTCACTGAGGTTTCAGCCCTTGTTCTGCTGGAAGTGACTGTGTGTGTGAAACAGGTGAGACAGGCTGGAAGGAGAGCTCCTGTGTGTGTGTGTGTGTGTGTGTGTGTGTGTGTGTGTGTGTCCCAACTCCTTTAGTCAAACAGTCATGTGTGTGTTTTAGGTGTGTCAGTCTTTGAACTGCTGCTGCTTTTCTACAAAATGTTCCTTGTGAACTGACGCTTTTGAAATGAGAATGCAGGTTGTGGCAACAGTAGGACATCCACTTTTTAGCTGTTGTGACTAATTTCTGTGTTTTTATCTCCTTTTCTTTTGCGTTTAAACATTTTCTGTCAAGTTTATTTATTTAGGGCTGTTTTCCTCCTCCTGTCTGATTTGTCAAATCAGCTGGAGCTGTTTGTACACAACAGTGGATCAGTCTCATTGACCCTCAAGGGACCATTAACATGCACCCAGTGGGGCCACTGCACTAAAACGGGGGGCACACTGCTCTATTTCAGTGATGACACCACATCCAATCAGGCTGTGACCCAAAGGCATTCACCTGATTATTACAATTTGAAAAAAGGCTTCTGAATTGACATGTGCTCATTTTTATGGATTTTGAGGCACTGATTCATACAGCAAAGCACTCTATGTCTTGATCAGGTATAAATGTAATGAGCACAGCTTAGTTCAATGGAAAATGTGTGGAATATCTTACAGACCAGAGTCTGTTACAATTTTAGACATTTTCCTTTTCAGTGGTCCAGAATTACCAAACCTTTTGGAAGCATTTCAGACCTGTGTGAGACATTTTTTCATTTTCCTCTTCCTCTTTGTTTTCATCTACTGGTTTAACAGGATTTTTTTCCCCCTCTGTTTTTCCCAGTGTCATAAGGATACTGTGGAACGCGTATCATGGAACACAAAAAGACAGAAGTTCATATGAACAAGGTGAGTCACTTCTGTCACAGATGGCAAAATGATTAGCTTTTAGTCATTAAAGAACAGAGATCCAAAAAGCACTAACTTCAAAGTTAGCCTGTTTTAAGGGTGTGTCATAGTATTATTACATTTCTAAACACACACACACACACACACACCCCAGCAGAGCTGTATCCCTTAGAGTCGAGGGGAAAATCTAAATTGCTAAGTGGATAAGAGCTTGTTGACGTTTGAAATAAAATATCTCCAACACAGGTCAATATTGACATAAACCTACTGTTACATTAAAGCTGCGACTTGAATATAATATCTGTTAATTTATTTCTAATTGAATGGGATGAATTACAGACCCTGAACAAAGAAGCTGTAACTATCCAGAGACGTAGTCGGGGCAGTACAACCCGTGCAATAGATGGATAGGCAGATACTTTATTGATCCCAGGGGAAATTCAGGTATCCAGAAGTAACAGCAATGATGACCAAAATCACAGCACCCACAGTAAAGAAATATATAAAAAAATACAAGAAATGTATAGTAGCATTTAGCAGCAGTAACATGTGCCAGGTATACAGTATACATAAGTAAATGTGCATGGGGTACCTGTGTTCAATGCCAGTATGTGCAGGATTGAACACTGCAAGAATTAAAAACAAATGTCAATATGTGCAAGAAAAGAGCATTATGTGCAAAAGTAAAAACAAGGATAAACAATGTGCTGTGCAGTAGTATAGCATCATAGTGAAGTGGGGTCATAATATTATGGAGCTGAGTAGTGGCATCACATGTGCATGTCCAGAAGTCAGCTCAAACCTCCTCATTGAGAGGAGGTGAAGAGTCTTGTGGCCCAAGGGACAAATGATTTCTTCAGCCTTTCCATGGAGTAGGAGAGAGACAACAGCCTACTGCTGAATGAGCTCCTCTGCCTGGTGATGGTCGTGTGCACAGGGGGACGAACATGGTCCAGCATGGACAGCAGCTTCCTGAGGGTCCTCTTCTCTGCTACAGATGTAAGGGAGTCCAGCTCTGTACCCTCTACAGAGCCATCTTTCCTCACCAGCTTGTCCATCCGTGAGGCATCTCTCTTCTTAATGCTTCCTCCCCAGCACACTACAGCAGAGAAAAGGACGCTGGCGATGACAGACTGGTAGAACATCTATAGCAGCTTCTTGCAAATGTTGAAGGACCCCAGCCTCCTCAAAAAGTACAGCTGGCTCTGTCCCTTCCTGAACAGCGAATCTACGTTGGTGGACCAGTCCAGTTTGTTGCCCATTTGTAGGTCTGGATGACCTCCACACAGACCCCCTCAGTGGACACCCGCTTCATGTGGGGTTTGGGACTCAGGAAGTCTACCACCATCTCTGTGGTTTTGGAGGTGTTAATAAGGTGGTTAGACTTGCACCATGCAGCACCGCCCTGTACTAGGCTGCTGTACTCATCCTCCTGTCCATCCCTGATACGCCCCATGACTCTGTGTCTCTTTAAAGTAGAACAGGAAATGTTTGTGCAGACAGTGATTGTACCCATGTCAGTGTCATAAATGATGTCTGTTGTAGCTGCTGTTGCCGTAGTGCAGCTCTGTGTTCTCTGGAAAAAAAAAAAAAAGGTTTTGTTGTTTCTTAGCCTGAGAGCTCACCTGACTTGAGCTGGCCTGCTGCAGTTTGCCAGACCAGTTCCCTCTCCACAGGGCTCAGTTAGTTTCTGAACAGACTGTTGTTTGGATGCAGCACTATGACATGCTTTCTGTACTTAAACTCTGATATTCTTTTGTAGGTAGCCAATCTATTTGAGCACTTGTGAGTCAGCAGAGTGGGACATTTGCTAACAAATACATAAGGTATGTTTGTTTGCATTTGCTTTTAATGTGGTGCAGTAATGTGTGTACTGACTTTCAGTGGTATTATATTGTGGTGATGTCACTCTATAATATCCGTCTTCATTTCAGTCATCTTTTTATTCAGTCTCTCACACAGTATTTGTTTTCTGCCTATGTTACTCACAATGTTTCGCTCCCTCTGCCTGTGTTTGTTGGTCTCAGCACTGGGGAGAGTGTTTTTCCTTTGGCCTCCAATGGCCTTCGTGCTTGTTTCCCAAGTCCAGGCATGACTGTCACCCCTAAAAAAAAAAACGGTACTTGGCCTAATTCCTGTTCTGAATACACAAGTCCCAGGTTGGTCAGCATGCATTTTAAGAGCTCATTTCCACTTGCACTTACCCTTTGTGTTTTAGAGCAGAGACACACCAAGCCGACGTGAAAGACCAATGATGACCAGCGATGAAGGCCAACTGTTGCGTCACCTCACATCAGCTTTATCTGGTCCAGTCAGGTGGAAAAAGTGACACCTGAACACACCGCACAGACTACAGCCAACGGCCAAGCATGTACGTTCTGCGCTTGCATGAGAGAAATGACTCACCCCCACCAACAGGTGGTGGTATCTGTGTTCGCCATTCAGAAAGGGAAAGAAGAAAACCGTGCAGCTATTCTTCAACATAGCTGCTGTTTATAGCTGCTTCTAATCAAAAATGTATCCAATAAGAAGTTGCGAATGGCAGTGGCCGACTAGTGTCAACGGTGCGGGACACATCGGAAAGATGAGCTGCGAAAGACGATGGCCGACGGCTGACCGTCAGCCTGGTGTGTCATGGCCTTTAGGCCACATCTACAGTACAGCTGATGTCTTAATTTAATTTCTCCTCATACATGAAAGTGAAAGTGAAAGTTTTCCAATCAGGATTCATCATCTGAAAGTCAAACTTATGTTTTGGTACAAAAATCTGATTCTGAATTATGTGATTCCACAAAAATCCAAGTTGTGTGGAAGCTCCCATTTTGAGTTGAGCAGTTAGGATCTGTGCATGTTTTTGCACTGACATGCATGTCTTAATTTAACTGTTGAGCCTTCTCATCACATAACTAGATCCGGTCCAGCTCAGATGGATGACGGGGATGACCTGCGGTCGAGGCACTCCTCTGAGGATTCACTGGCTTCATCCGCGACTGAGCCCATCAACCTAGAAGGTCAGCTCGTCTCTCTTAGCAGGGATGAGGAGCTGCTGTACCTTTTATTTAACTTGAAATGTAGCATATGAAAAGTTCAGTGTAGTTTTATTTTCTGTGTTGTATTCATTTTTATTATTTTTAATAACAGTAATTAATATGTTTGCTTTTTGTCAATAACAGACAAAGATCAGCGCATTATGTGCAGTGCTGCTGTAATAACACTGACGGTTAAAAATCCACTTAATATCTTTTTGTTGACTTAAACCAAGTCATGAACCAATATGAAAAGACTAAAACCTTTTTACCATGATAAAAAAAAAAGTTGCCAGCAAAGTTTAAAACATTTAAAAATAATCTGCACATGACCAGTTAAGAATCACTGACATGCATACTCATGACCACAAAGCACAAGCCTTGGGTGATACAGGTCCTAGTGTGACTGTCTCTGTGTCATCCAGATTCCCATTATGTTGAGCTGTGGGCGGAGATGGAGGCGGATGCCCGGAATCTGGAGGCAGAGTCCTGGAGCGTGGCTGTGGACCCAAACTATGTGAAGAGCCTGACCAAAGAGGCTGTAAATAGACAGGACGTCATCTATGGTAGGCTGAGCCGGGGAATTCAAAGTTTGAATCAGTTAGTGAGTCTGGAACTTTATAAATAGGTGATCTCCTTCAGATACAGGAGTAAACGCGTATCTCTGTCACTCTCCTAGAGTTGATGCAGACAGAGATGCACCATGTGCGCACCTTGAAAACCCTTTATCATGTCTACATGCATGAGTTAAGGCAGCTGATAGAAGAAGACAGACTTAACAGGCTCTTCCCAGGAGTGAAAGACCTGCTCAGCCTCCACCAGGACTTCCTTAACTGCCTCAAAGCACACCAAAACCAGAGTCAGAAGGAAGGAGGCCCAAACAGCTACCAGATCACAAAGCTGGGGGAGATCCTCATCTCTCAGGTAGAGTATTTAAAGCCACAGAAGGTTAGAGGTTCATGTGAATCACTGATTGCAAAGGGTGGGGACATCCCTGGAACTCCAGTTAAAAGGGGTAGTTTGTTTTGGGAGGAATTTCCTTAAACAAGCACAGTTGAGAAGGACAGTTTTTGAATAAATATTTCTTTCTTCAGATGGAAATATCATCATTCACTCACTTTCAGGACAAAACACCAGTAAAGCTTGTGTGTCCGCATAGCATACAGTGAGGTACTATTCCATGCAAATCCTGTTCAGAATAACCAAATGCAGCCGGTAGCTACTCTATAGGGTTCCAGAAGGATAAAAGGGATCCTGAATTTACAGTAAATAGGTTGTTCAACATTATCTAGATGTGCTCAAGTCACGTGCATATTTTATCTAAAACTGTTGCTTTAGGCTTCACGTCCAGGCTGTTGATGATTTCACATGAGTTTCTAGATTGTTTTTGGGGAAGTTCTTTAAAGTTGATTTAAAATTCAATTGGAGCTGTTGTCAGAGCAACAAGTTCAATAAGCCCAAACCTGCAAAGGTGCAGCTTACTGACAGTTGTGTACAAACCAAGATGTGTTCAAGTCAGTCCCCTAATTTTCAATGAGAAAATGAACAAATCAGTCATCAGACTGCATTCAAATATGTGAATTAACCTGTATGAGAATTAATGCAACACATTTAGCCTGATAACAGCATAAACACCTGACCTTGCTCTTTATCTTGTACATTTATCCACCTGTTTCCAACCTTGTCACTCGAGGTGCACATGCTGAGTGTTAAGGTGTCCAGAGGAATGACTGGTATGTCTGAAACACTCTACATTGGGACTTCAGGGTGTGCTCGTGCGTCATAAGCCCAGGAATGATGCCGTATTGCGAGCATTGCATTCCTGGAAAACCATTTTTACATCATCTGCTGACAATAATTTTCATGAACAAAATGACATTTATCACAGATACACCAGATATTAACCAGGCATTAAAGTTAAATCAAAGTGGCCTTGCATTTTGAGGTTGGCTACTGTTTGGACTCTGATATAAGGACAAATTACTGTAAATATAGTAAGATGCTACAGTAGTTACCTCTGGTTTTGGTTCCGTGTGTGTTGGTTTGTTGGTTAGCAGGATTACAGACAAACGGCTGATGATCATCGGCATACTTGGTACAGACATTGGCGGGGACCAACCCTAGAAGTGATTAAATTTTGGGTGAAGATCAAGGTCACACACACACACACAAAAAAAAAAACAAAATCACAAAAATTCTTATCTTAAACACGGGGCAAAGTTATCTCCGTCAGTATGTGTCAGGCCAACACCCATCGTTTCCTATAGTCAATGCTCATTAGGATATGTAACTGTCCCGCTTTTGCTCTCAGAATCAGCATTTCTTGGTCATCATGCCTTGACTGATTCTTTTATTAGTGTGACATGTCAGGTGTGTTCTTCTGAACTGTTCAGTTGATGAACATCAGTGATGTAACCCTCCTTGGTGTGAGCCATAAAGCCAGGACTTCATATCTGGGTTTTTCTTCAATTGTTCCCTTTCCCAAAATTTTCCAGTCACATGTTAGCAGTAACTTTAATATAGTGAGTGGTGTTGCTGCTATTTGTCCCCTTTTTGGAAACAATTTTCATGGGTTGTCCTCCTGCTGTGATAGTTTTCGGGCCAACTGGGAAAACAAATGATGGAATTCTACAGTCTCTTCTGCAGCCATTACAATGAAGCCATCAGCCTCTACAAAGAACAGCTGCAGAACAGCAAGAAGCTGCAGTCTCTTATTAAGGTAAACAATCTCATTTTTATTGCAGAGAATGCACTGGAATTGACACAAGTGCACATCAGCATCAGCTTTTCACAAACAGTGATTATACAAAAAAATACTGCAGCTACCAATGAAACAAGTAAACGTAACATACCTGAACTAATACATTTCAGTTCTGAAAAACAAAACGTTTCTTCATTTTTAACAGAAAATAGGTCAGCTGTCGCTATTGCGAAGGTTGGGAATCCCTGAATGTTTTCTCTTGGTGACTCAGCGCATCACAAAATATCCCGTCCTGGTTGAGCGAATCATACAGAACACCGAAGGTAAACTCTCACCCCTCATCATTTACCTGTCTCTCTATAGGCTGCTATAGTTGTTAGGCTTTGCTCAGCCTTTCAGTGTTTAACTCAAATGACTGAAAAGCAGTTGGCTACTTTCTTCACTAACACAAACACTGGCTGGAATAGTCCTGTATATTTCATGTTTTAATATAAAGAAGTGAATACTGGTTGACCTATGTATTTCTAACCCTTACAGCTGACACAGATGAGTACCAGGCACTGTCACAGGGTTTGACGTTAATCAGACGCACCATCTCCCTGGTGAATGATCGGGTCAGGGAGTATGAAAAAGCTGTTCGTCTGAGAGAGATTGCCCTGCGTCTGGAGCCAAAATCTCAGGGGCGGATGAAGGACGGCCAGCTGTTCCGCAGAGAAGATCTAATCCAGGACAACAGGTCGCTGCTGCATGAAGGCACTGTCACCTGGAAGTCCTCTAGTAAACAGAAAGGTTTGTGGCAAGTTGATTGGCATTGTGAAAACGCAGAATAACTCTGAGGACATGATACATCAAGTAAATGACAGCTGTGGATTACTGCAGTATAATAGGGACAAGTGTACTTGTTTCCTGTTTGTACTTTTTTTTTTTTAAATAGAAGGTTCAGAACCAGCCAACAAAACCAGTGTGTCAACATTTTTATGTCATTACATAGTTGTCAAAGATTATCGGTCTCATCAAATGCATTATACACATGCCTCATGACTGTCATGGCCGCTTGAGTCATATCAAACCCTTGTGGTGTTTTGATACTGAGCTGCATTAATATCCTCCTGCAGATATCAGTGTGCTAGCGGTGCTGCTGACAGATGTGCTCCTCCTCCTACAAGAGAAAGATCAGAAGCTTGCATTTGCTGCTGTGGTGAGTTCTGCCACATCTTGCTATGTACAGAAACTCGATCAACATCAATCATGTCCTGCTGTATCATTTTACATATGTTTAATTTGGTTTTTCCCTTTTCCAGAAACAACATCAGCAATAATAGGTCTAGGGTACTGGCTTTTTTAGATTTGTTAATTATGAAAAGACTAAAGTAAATGTGTCTGGCTCTGACATACAGATTTCTTTGTAGATAATTAATTTAGCATGATGTGTAATAATCCAGGACCGATATGATAATTTGAAAGAAAATGGCAATAATCTTTTTGTGGCTCATGCAGGACAACAAGCCACCAGTGATCTCCCTTCAAGGGCTGATAGTTAGGGAAGTGGCCCATGAAGACAAAGCCATGTTCCTTATCTCTGCCTTCACCTCCAGCTTGCCGGAGATGTATGAGATCCGCACGGGCTCCAGAGAGGAACGCAACACCTGGACAGCCCGCATATGGAAGGCTGTGTCTGACTGGTAAGCTGAAGATGGCATAGATCTGCTCAAAAATGTCAGGACAATTATCTAATAATTATTTAAATTTGTTGCACAAATGTTATTAAAATCTTGCTGCTAGTTTTTGAATACCTTGGCACTGACCAAAGTGTGTGTGTGTGTGTGTAAATGTTTTGGCCTGACAGTAGCTGTACAAAGTGCAAGGACCTGTGAGAATTAACCTTAGGGCCACGAATATGCAAACTGTGGTGTTTGTTGAGATGTCCTGCTGGGACCCATGCATTGAACACAATGCAGGGAGCACTGTTTCATGGGAAACTGAGTATGTTGTAATTACATGTAAGATGACAAAACTGAGCTGCATGTTTTCTGTAATTCAGCTGTCCAGACGACGAGCTGTCCCACAAACTGACTGCTAAACTGCAACGGTGTCAAGGTAAGTCAGCTGAGATTATCTGCCACAAATCACACAGAGCCCCCTGCCAATATGCGACGTTTACCAGTGCACCATTGACCCTATAGGTTTTGAAATGTTGCATCGTTACTAATTTGTGTACAGTAACCTATTCTTTTGTTTTGTGTGCCGTTTTCTTAATGCCTCCATGCCAGTGTTGGCCACAGCCAGAGGCATTATGTTTTCAGATTGTCTGTCCGTACAGCCCATTCTTGTGAACACGTTATCTCAGGAACACCTTGAGAACACCATTTCTTCAAATTTGGCTCAAGTGTTGACTTGAACTCAGTGATGAACTGATTAGATTTCGGTGGTCAAAGGTCAAGGTTGGCGGAGGCATGCAACCATGAAGTGATAATTCTAGTTTTGTCCTGTACTGGAGATTTGCTTTGGTTTTTATACTATTGTAATATATTTCAGTAGAAGAAATCTGAAATTCACAGGAAGCAACCTTTACTGGCATTGTGAATAAATAAATGTGTGTGTGTGTGTGTGTGTATATTATTGTGTATTATATATGGCCTTAATTTTGTTTTCCCTTTTTAGAATGTGCAGCCTTACTGTGAGTTAAGTGTATGTTCAAATGTTTGAATTTGAAGCTTAGGAAAGTGTCTGAAGTACATACTGTAGGTTTTCACTGAGCCATAATGTATCCAATTTAAATTTTTCTCTCTGAATTTACTAAGATAACCATTCTGTTCATTTTATCCTGTTGCTATGTAGATTATCTAAAGGAGAAGGATGACCTTATTATAGGAAGTCTAGCAGACAAGCAGCAGATGTTTGCTGATCTCTACAAGAATGTGACAGAGCAAGAATACCCCCACAAAGGGCTGCTGCTCCGGGGAGATGCGACTGACCTCCAGCAGGGGGAGGCACTGTTCAAGGCAGCCATGGTAGAGGGTAAGACCTGAGATGGCATCAGTTTCTATTTGCTTTCAGTATTTGATTGGATTAATGATGCAGTAGTACTGATCAGTTTTTGAACTGGCTAGCTATGAATCATCTAATATGTTTAAAATCTGCACACATGCACTGAAGTAAAAGTGAAATGCACTCAGTTTTGTTTTCCCATAGAGCCAAGGCATGTGTTTTAGGGAGGAGATTATGGAGTTGTTTCTTCTGTTGTGTGCAGTGGAAAACCTGCAGAACCTGTTATTCTCAAGGATAACAGAGAAAAACCTTTTGGATGAGAGTGGGCCACTCAGGCAAACTCAGACATTTGCAGCGGCTGGAAGTGACTCCAACGCAAACACCACCCAAAGTAAGCTGTATTACGTATGCGCCATCTTTTTAATACTGTGTGAACATTGGAGCAAAGTGACAAAAACATACTTGTATTGTGATGATGGCTAGTTTTTTTTTTTTTTTGTAATTTGCTTTCCTCAGATGGAGATGTACCTGAGAGGCGGCGTAGCAGTGACGGCAGTTTGTTGTACATCAGTCACACCACCAGTGACCCTCAGCTCCAGGAGGTGTACAGCTCTGCAGGCCTGGAACAGTCTGTGAGTGAGGGATATGTAAAGAAGCTAAACCTTTTTTCCACCTGATGATTTACAAATATGAAGTATTTACAGTGCTTGTGCCATTTTTCTCCAAGGCTGATGACAACACACTCCCTGTACCAAACTGTAATTCAGTCTCCAGTCATTTCCCTGAGGCAGAGGTAGCCCTTCTAATATATAATAATCAAATCGGTAGTAATTTCCCTTTTTCATCTGTAGAAACATTGATATCGGCCTCTGTCACTTTTTTTTTTCTGTAGTTGTATGACAGAGTGATGTTGCTCGCGCAGAAGCTCTACAGTTTACAGGTAAGGCACTTGCCTCATTTCCTTAAGCTACCTACAAAAATGCTTTCATATTTTTTCTGTACTGCAAAAATAAGAAGGTGAGTTTGGTTATGACTTGGTTATATCACATTTTCCACTGTGCAGGCAGTCATTGTCCAGCAGGACAGCCAGATTGAGCTGCAGCGTGCTTTTCAATTGGAGAGACAGCAGACCAGCCGCCATTACAGCTTTGTGCTGCTTGATCAGGAGAAGCAGCGCAACTTAGAGAAGCAGAAAGAGGAACTTGCCAACTTGCACAGGATGCAGGCTCAGCAACGAGAGGAGCAGCAACGCTGGGAGAAGGAGAGAGAGCGGCAGAGGATGCAGATTGAAGCCCTGGAGGGTCAGCTGCAACAGAGAGAGGAGGAGTGCAGGAAGTGGGAGGAGAAACTCGACGAGGAGAAGGCTGAGCTGGAGAGACAGAAAGAAGACCACCAGCAGAGCCTGGAGAGGCTGAGGGAGTCCATAAAGTCTGTAGAAAAGGAGAAGGAGCGTCAGACGCAGGAGAGGGAGCGCTTGGAACAGTTACAGGAGAAAATTAAGAAACACTTGAGCCTGATAAACCCTGGATACGCCAACTATGAGGATCCCACACAAGTGAGAAAGGGGATAGCAGTAGTTTTGTGTATTGGTCTGTTGATCATTTTTTAATGCCCACTGAAATGGAAAATATATTTCTTTTGCCTTGCCATCACATTCAGTAGTTTCATAACAATAGTGGTTCAGAATCTTCTGAAACGAGAAGAGCTGAGTGATCTTCAGCCTTGAATAAATGTTGCCACTGTCGATGAGGAACACATGGGTGATGTATTAGAAATGCACCGTGAGAGAGATTTAAGCACCAGAACCTGTTTATCCATCTCCATTAGTGCAGTGTACAGGGCACAGAAACTGAAATCATTTAGCTCAATTAATGCATTAAACAGAACTCCATTTTTTTTTCCTTAAATCAGTTCAATGTACTGGCTCAAGACTTTTCATAAAACTTTCCTCTTTCTCCTTAGTACTCGGCTCTCTCCAGTTCCCAGTCATTCAGTGGAAGTATGGTGAATGGAGGTGGAACTCTACCCTACAAACCCCACATCTTGTACAGCACCACCACCTTTAGTCCCATGGAAATTCCTCCAAAGGTCCCACCACGCAAGGAGAGCATCCTCTCCCCCCCAGCCAAAACTGAGCCGCCCATCCACCTGATCAGCACCACCAACCAGGTGCACAAACCTGCGGTCGTGCAGCAGCGGATCCCCACCAAGCTGGCTACTGTACCCAAGGAAAAGGAGAAAGGCTTCAAGACAAAGAGCTCCCACCAAAGAACACACAGTGCAGGTCAGGATAACATTCTTGCTTCATGTTCCACTACAGGGGCTGTGCATTTATAACACAAGGGATCTCGGAAAGAAATCAGAAACTGCCTGTATTCTTTATTTGTTGGTTTCAAACATTTATCTTTAGCTTAACTTTTAGAGAACAGATTGTTTCAGTATTGTTAGTACCACGTCTAACTAAAAGCAGTCTCCAGATTCAAATGGCTTCATATTTTTGGTTAGTCTAATTTGCACATTCACATGCAGTTTTACAACTCGTAAAAAATAAAAACCATATACCCCTATATTGTCTACTTTCTTAATCCAGCCAATATAGATGTGAATCAGGTGGTACCCATCCGAGTGAAGGGAAAAGGAGGAGGAGGAGGCACGCTGAGAGCCAAGATGGACGCCAGTCCTCAAAGAATCTACCACTCAGGTACAGTGATTTTATTTCCCCCTACCCCTTTGAGAAATGGCTTCTGACTATCAAAGACATCACACTGCACATACTCAGATCTGTTCACATACGAGATGTTTGTCTTTTGAGGGTCGGATACTCACCAACTTGTGAGATGGTCATGAGAGTTTGCGTTCGGCTTCTTCAGAGCAGCAGCTGTGTTCAGTTTATACACAAGACAAATGGAGTGGTTTTGGCACAGTACAAGAAATGTTTACCTTGTGTATAGACTATAAAACAAAGAATAAATTCCATAGTTACTATCATCTTAGGCTTCATTTATGGCTCTGCATTACACTGTACCTACAGCATGGGTAATGTAGCGTCGTCCTCTATGCTGTAGCCTGACGTGCACCTCTCCAGAAATGTAAGTGCATGACACGGCAATGCAGACAACTGATTTGGTTGCATTGAATTTCCTTATTAATGTCTTGACTTGAATGAGAAGATAATTGGTAGATAAATCTTATAGGTACCTACTATAGCCATTTATTTCCCCCCCCCCCAATCTCTCTTCAACCAGATACCTTCAGAACAGCTGAATCTCCCCAGAGTGTGAAAAGCGCTCAGTCATTCATTAGGCACAAGAGGAGCAACAGCGAGGCTTCTCCACCAGTGCCACCTCCGTTCCCCAAAGATGTTCTTGAAAAGGGCAAAGAGAAGGTAATATTCCTTTAACCATAATCTACAGACTGGAGTTTAGAGAAGGCCTCTGGAACCACAAAGACTTGAACACATGGAAAGACTAGTGGAGCTTTGAAAAGACGTGGCTTCATGATGTCCATATGAGTCCAGTGTGAAGAGCCTCGTTACTATTATGCCGCTTAATCCCTGGAAACCAACAGATAAAAAGCTACGTGATGGACATGTTTCATAAGAGGCCGCTCAAAAGATGTAAAAAGTTGGGATTGTTTGTACATTGGGAAAGATGTTTTAAATGAAGAAGCTGCCACAACTCTTCTTGCCAAAGACTTTTTTTCTGAACTTTATCATTTTATCTGAAATGAAAGTAGGGTTTCTTTAGCACTCGTGTCTTAAGTCTTTTCTTTTTAATTGAATGGATTATAAATGCAGTGTGAGGAAGCTATAGGCATGCCACATTTACACCTGTTTGGATATGAAGTACCAAGCACAACATGAATCGGGTAACCTTGAAATTAGTACTGTGGACCTGCCTCTCAGTATCTGTTCTAATCAGCTGTTCAATGAACAGTTTGTGGAAGAGTCTGATTGTTGCAGTGACGAGTCAGCAGGTCCAGTATTTGTGCGGAGCCTGTATGTGCACTTCCTGGCTGGAGACGGTGAGCGTTCATGACATGACCATATCTGCAGGATTGTTTCAGTTCACAACTAGACATCTGTTTTTAGCATATGAGAATTCTGAGTGTGATTCCCTGTTAAATAATTTAACCTTATGTTGTGCATTGGCTACTGTCACCTTTGGATTCCATGTAGAATATTGTCCAGTTCCTAAGAAATGGAGCATGGAATTAAAAAATGGTTGACTTTACAGCCTTTGATTTTTCTGTGGATTGACTGCATGTGGCTGAAGAAAACCTAAACTTGTTTTAAAGAGAAGTGAAGTGATGCCATGGTGCCTTCATGACCTTGAGGAAGGTAGATTACTTCATTTCCCTTCAATTCTGTTAAATGGTTGCCTCAAGATAGTGATGGTGCTTTTGTCTCATACTAGTAGGGCTGCACGATAAATCGTTTTGTGAGCATGATTCAGATCCCTGTATGATCTTAGTCTTACGTGGCAATGATTCTGCCATGTTTGTATTGGCAGGGAGATGCCTTGCATCAAACCAA